AAACCACAGCATAAGTTAAACGGTTTACATTTTTTTTTAACCTTAAACTAGCAATTATCTCCAAGTTTGATGTCTTAAATTAATTAATAACTAATTTAGTTATAAACCAAATTAATTAAGTGGTAGAATTCCAAAACTCCATTTTCTACATTTTAATTATTTTTATGAATTTTTGGTTTTCGTATCTAAATTAATACAGGGTAAAAGAATTTCTCACAACTGTACCGAAGTTTTGGTAATGATTTTTCCTAATAATATTCTACTGTTGACACAGTTAATAATTGAGAAGATTTAAAATTAGTTCGGCTGATTTTGGAATTCTATACCATTAATCAATTTTTTAATTAATAATGAAATATTTTATAATCAGTATGCGATATAAAATTATTCAATTGCTTCAATTGAAAAATTTACAATCATTTTAAATTACCTTTATCCTTTCAGATGCTGATCTATCCCAATGTGCACTCAAAGACGAGGTTGATGCATCATTTTCAAGTTTGTATGTTTAAGCAATTTATAGTGATTTAATTTTCTTCAGGAGTTTAGAATATAATACAGAAGAAGTAAAAATACATTTATGTGTTTAAATAATATATAATATCCAGGCTATTTAAAGTGGAAATAAAACTGCAAAATTACCCAACATCGTAAATGCTAAGAAAAAAATCTGTACCACAACAACTCTTGAACTATTTAGCGGCAGCACTGTTTCAAGACCTATGGTTGTGCAGGGAGGGAATCAAGCCAGGATCACGCTCAACCGCCAGGTTTTCCCTCTTTTTTTTTTTTTTGCTCTTCCCTTCCTTGCCTTTAAGGCTATACGGGGTTTTATCGGGCCAGGGAGTTAGCCCTGGAGCCAGGGCCCAAAAATCGACCTGATCGCAGGCGAAGGTTTGATTATAAATTACGAAAGCGTATGTTATTCTGAGTAAAAAAAACATTGTCTGCCGTTCCGGAGCCGCTGCTTTCAAAAATAGCGGCTGATTTAAAGAATATTAGGTCAATAATTTGAGGATCGAAACGGGAAATCCGTTGCGAAAAATGTGAGAAAAGTTTTTATTTTTCTAACTTTTATATATGGGTTTAGACATGTGAAAACCAAAATTACTAAAGCGGGCCATCAAGGGAAAACTTTTTACAGCCAAAAAAGTCAGATTTTTTTCGATATTTTTTTGGGTTTTTCACCTATAACTCCTAAACAATGAATCAAAGCGAAAAATGTATTCTTTAATAAATTAAAGAACGGTAAATTTTGCGTCAAAGGAATACATAAACTTTAAAATTTGGTTACGCCGTAAGGTATAAAACCATAGTCAACCAACGTTAAGTTTTACCAAATTTGTCAAAAACTGAGACAAATTACTATAAATAGCCCTGTAACTTGGAAATGAGTTCCTTAAGAGAAAAAGCCCATAGAATCAAAGTAGTAGAGCATCTAATTTTGCGTAACTTTTAAGAACTCCGTAGAATAGATACCTTAACTAACACAGTAGAATAGACACCTAGAATACTGTTAAACTATTAAAAATCACGTTTACCTTCATTACCAATTTCTAACCATCGGGAGATTACCGATTTTGTTCTGATTGATACTGAGTATAAGGGAAATTTGATGCTTCAAAAAAATCCGACTTTTATGGCTGTAAAAAGTTTTCCCTTGATGGCCCGCTTTAGTAATTTTGGTTTTTACATATCTAAACTCATATATAAAAGTTTAAAAAAATAAAAACTTTTCCCACATTTTTAGCAATGGATTTCTCGTTTCGATCCTCAAATTATTGGTCTAATATTCTTTAAATCAGCCACCATTTTTGAAAGCAGCGGCTCTGGAACGGCAGATAAGGTTTTTTTTTTACTCAGAATAACATACAATTTCGTAATTTACAATCAAACCTTCGCCTGCGATCAGGTCGATTTTTGGGCCCTGGCTTCAGGGCTAAGTGTGGGCGGGGATTTAAAAGACGCCCCCGACACCGGGAAGTGAACTCTATATTATATTTTGAAATATGATAATTATTAATGGTAATAATTTCTTAAATGAAACAGAACAGTGTCTAGTAAGAATTGAATTGGGCATATTATCAGTAATAAAAATTTCCAGCTGTTCAGTACTTTTCATACCAACTTAAATAATCAAAAGACGTTTAGGAATGATAAAATACGATTATAATTATACACAAAATACCAATAGGCATTGTAATTTAAAAAAAAAATAAATATCGTTTACATCATGTGCTAACAGACCATTAAAACATTATTTCAATTAAATTAAAGTTCTTCTTTATTTCTTAAAAAATAAAATTGTGCAGGGCGCCTCCCTGATTGGGTCAATATCACGCTCAACCGCGAGGTTTTTTTCCTTAATTAATTATTTAATTAAGATTTTTTTCTTTTAATGATTTAGATTTTTATTAATTAACCACTGTTAAGTTGTAACTTAAGCAATACAATATTAAAACCAATGATTTTTATATTAAATATTACAACCAATTATGGGGATCGTAGCAGGAACAGTAGACGCTATATTACCAGTTAATATTTTATTATCCTTTTGTTTACTATTACTCAGAAAACTTTATTATTATAATACATAAATCATTATTATTTTTAATACTGGCTATTAATATATGCCTAAAAAATTTTAATTATGTCATCTATGTCCATTCGTATATATTTATTCAATACACATAGAAAATATAATTTTTTTCTAGTGAATAAAAAAAGGACAAGCCAACGAAATTAAATAAAGAACATTATAAAAAAAATTATATATTATATAATTTATGTTAATAGTAATCTTTATTAAATAAATTAGATGTATATTATATATCTTATCTAATCATGTGTTGTCTTTTTACTTTCTCTAAAATATATTTACTGAAAAAAATATTAATTAAACGTTTCGTAAACAAGTATTCTATTTTGAGCAAACTAAGAACATGGCGGCAACAGCTTATTGTTTCCATTACACCTAGCAACAAACTCCCGCCATAAGCCCAATCTTTCCCGCCTTTACGAAACATCCCGCCATTCCAACAAGCACACACGAAAAGATACAACACAATCAAAAAATACATTAATGATTATACTCACAATTTTTTTAAAAGCCACTTTTTATTTCTGTATCCGATAATTTGAAAAAATCGAAACTGAAAGTTTTCAACAAAGCTAAGTTATATAATACCAATTTATTTATTTTAACTTTTACTATTGAAATTTTCTAGAGTATAAATAAATATATTGAATAGGAAACAGAACGGTATTAAAAAGTAATAAAGATAGAGAAAAACTACAAACATTCTAATGTATAAATATTAAATCATTTAAGGATCCTGGTATAGAATAAATATATAAGGGTGTATAAAAATCGAGTTTCGTCTTACAAATTTCTATTCTATTTAAAATTAACGATGTATATTTTTGAAAAAAAAACAGAGTAATAATGATGCTACAAGCTCCCGCCATACGCCAAATCTTTCCCGCCTTCACGGAATAGACCGCCATATTTAAATATAATACATCCACATTTATCTAAATAATTATATCGTTGAAGAGAAGTTGTTTGTGGATTTCAGTCATTGGAAGCACACAAAAATAAGCTATATTTTAATTTTTAAGCGAATAAATATAATTTTTTTTTGTGTAATTCAAATGACTAAAATCTCCAAGCAACATCATCCAATAGTCAAAAATTACCCATCATCATTTTAAATAATTATATAGTCGGCAAAAAGTCATTAAGTTTGATTATATAATCTTACGTAATTATCAATATTGAGGAATTTTACTTTGTGAAATCAGAAAATTATACGATTGTTTCAACTATATTTTATAAATAAAAGGGTTTGAGTTATTTCCATGCACCTACGGTTTTTTGTTTGGATATTTAAAGTCAGAATTCACTAAAACGTATACCTAAAATGCAAAATGCACTTCATGACTTTTTGCCATGATTTGAAAAATTAGGGTTGTAAGTGTGGTTATTATTAAAATTGTCAACATAAATTAATATGATGACGAATGGTTTGTAATACGAAAACAGCAAGTTGAGACACTACATGGCATCAGGCACGGGCTACAGGGCTCCATCTACAGGGTGGGGGGCTTTGGGGCTGTAGCCCTCCCTACAAAAATGGTAAAAATAACCATGTTTTATGGAAAAAAAATATTAAAAAATTATCTCTTAAAGTATTATTGTTCGTTTAATTACATTTAAAATGACTTTAGGATCACTTAAAAATCATTTCGTATAGGTAGCTGGTTTCTTTCTTTTTTTCCAAAGTAATTATCGTTATTTTTAAGAAAAAAAAAGCCCCCTCCCCTCCTCAAAACTAAATCCTGGATCCGCTAGTGGCATCAGGGGCAGGAAAATACCCTCTCATTACCAAAATTGTTTTAACTTTCTCTAGAATTTCCCGGTTATCTCGTAGATTTTCTTTTTAACCTTATCATTCATGGCCGAATCTTCAGGTTAAGATATTTTAAAACCTGAAGGCCTTGTGATACCTTTAGTAATCCGGAGCAATTCAATGCCGCTTTGTCACGCTTACCGCTTACTCCGCACCTACATTTCGTTGGAGTCGTAAGGTTCTAAAAAAGAAAAGGATACCATAAGATAAGTTTGAGGTTAGTTCGGGTTTAGAACAAACTGATTCCCTTTTATCTGTCCTGTTTAATTTAGCATTAGAGAGGTATGCAAGCTGATAATCTTTTAAATTATAAATAAATAAAGGGTTAAGAGAAAATACGAAAAATACAAAGTTCGCGAGGGCAGGTAAAGAACAGGAGCCCGAAATGAATACGTTTGGATATGCAAGAACTTTAGGTATATAGAATCTACGATAACTAGAAAGAACAAAATTAAATAGGAATTCAAGGATAGGTTGAGAGCCAGAAATGCTTGTTATTTGACGTTTAAAATTTGTCAAGGTGGTACTACTCCAGTTCTAACCTATTTACACTATTGTGCGTACATGTATATATGATGGGTATATATTATTAAAGCGTGTTTGTGTGTGTCTGGAAATGCATAATAATACATATGTAACTTTGGTTACAGACATCTCATTCTAAAACATATGTTGGAAGAAGGACAAATTTATTTGGTTTTCGGGAATTATTGACGGTGTCCATTGGCTGGAAAGAGGCAATCATGTCTGATGGAAGGATATCTTCGTCATCGTCCAGCAGCAGCTCCTCCTAGTAAGTATTTCGTCTGTATAATATCACTTCGGCCAAGGGTAGCCTAACCGTCGAGAATAAATTTTATGATAAAGGTAAAAAGCCTAAGAATACGACGTGGGCACGTGTAGATTGTTCAGTTCAAAATCAGCTGGGGATGATGGAGTACCTACGTTACAAATAGTGCAACTGCCCAGTTGGTTTTGCAAAGCTACATCGGTAACATGGAGGATACTAAATAATAAGTTAAAAGTACACGACATCGATCAAAATATTGATTCATATAATGGCATTATATGTATATATATATATTGTCAAAACAATGATATTGTCTCAATATTATTGTTATAACAATGATTTCACACCGAGTGATTTAGGTTAGTTAGGTTCCAGGTGTTTGTTAATAATACAAGTATTTGTTTTCACGAAGGGGAAAAAGCGTTTATCATGTAAAAGCCAAGGTAAGTAATTATTTACTTTTGAATAGCAATAGTTTAAGATACTAAATTACAAATAGATTTCATGATTTTTGTTATGATAATTTATTTCCACATCTAACCTACAATATAACATAGCTATATTTTGTTTGTGGTTTAACTTCCTTATATAATCCAACAACAACTGGAAAGATAGATTAACCTATACGTTGCCAACATATTATAGCTAGGGTGAGAAGATCATGTTTCTGTTTCTAACACCTTCCTCGACAAGAAGATTAGATAAAGTTTGATAAGAACACTTAAACTATTGCTAAAATCAGTTCATCAGTAGAATTTACATCACTATGGAATCTAATGAGTCCAAATTCGACCAGCAATATTCGGGGGAATATTATTGGTTTTATAGTACCTGCGGAAGGAATTACTTTTTACCAAATTATGATAGTTCTGAATATCCTGGAGAAAAACTACACCAATGTTATCTGACCAGGACTGAATGCAAGATTGCGTTGTATCGAAGTAAATATAATTAAGTCTGACTGTACAAAAGTGGTACAATTCTAATACAATCCAACGTACCACTAAATACGGTTAGTCTCAAAAAACATGATAGCACTACAAATCAAAACATCAAAGTAAGTATGTTCTAGTGGATCAAGTTTCAGCAGACGTTTAGGAATAACTTCCAGACTTCGCAAATGTAATATTTGTCTCTAACGTGGCAGAAGAGGATGAATGGCACAAGTTGTGCTTAGAAAAATTTTGAGGGATTACGAATTTTTGAGGGGGCACATATTTACGGGCTTATGAAATTTTTTTTTTTAAGAGAACCATATTTTTGTGATATTTCAATAGGGGAGAACCATAGAACAACAAGGGGAAAAGCTTAACTACAATCTTATTTTTACGTTTCACTGAATATGATATCATCGTTGAGAAGCAACCTTTGAAACTTAACCAAACGGTTTCGGATTTTAGAGACCGTAATAACTTCCTTGACATTCAGGTTACTTTTTAGTCTCATAGATTACTCCATCAGTCGAAAGAGAGTGGCTTGGTTTAAATCTTGCTGAATTATATCGATAGGAAAAATAGCAAATGAAATTCCGTATCTATCACTTCTTCTTAGATACCGTGATGAATTTTAATTTGAAGAGAAATTAAGAGTAAACAGAAACAGAGTAGGATTTATATTAATTCATAAATTAACTCCAGAAGATCTAATGCCAAAAGAAGGAATAAGCTATATAGTTAATAAGTATAGTCAGCAATAAGAAATAATTTTTCAATGGTAATTTCGTGGTTGGATTCAAAGTTCAAATGGTGTTTTAGAAATAGTACATGATAAAAAATAGGTCAATATACAGGCGGATCGACTGAGAAGGGGCTTTCGGGCTGAAGCCCTCCAAAATGGAAAAACATAAACAGTTATGTTATTTTAATTTTTTTTCATTAAAAAAAAAAAATTAAAATATTATTGTTAATAGGACTTCAACAATCGCTTAAACATCACTTTATATAGGTAGTTAGTTTCTTTATTTTTTTTTTAAAGTAATAATTGTTATATATATATTGTTATATTGTTATATTGTTATATTGTTATATATATATATATATATATATATATATATATATATATATATATATATATATATATATATATATATATTAATAAAAAGGCTCTCAGACTGAAGGCCTCCAAAATTAAATTCTAGATTCACTAGTGGGTCAATAGGAGCGTAATTACTGTGGACCATAATATAAAAATATATTGTTTAATGTCAATTATGTTTTGTACAATGAGTACCGAGAAGAATTGGTGGCAGTGGATATTAAGCATAGGCGGAAGGAACAAATGTTACATATGACGGCATGCCGGGCAGCAAGACATCCGGTCATTAATAGCTCACCTGTGGAAGGAAGAGACCTGTAATAATTCAGTTCACTGAGCTATGTTCATCATTTGTCGTAAGGCCGATAGTATTCTTTTTTAATATTTAATTTGACTCCTGTTGCGATTTTGAGCCTCCTAAAGTATTGCTTCGTAGAAAAAAAATACAAAAATAACGGTTGATTTGCATAATGTTCATGCAAATATACAAAACGAGTAGTAAAGAGACAACAACTCCATGAATAGAAAATTAATACAACCATATCATTGGAAGTTTTCTATCCAATGTCTTCTTCGGACAAGGTCTCTGAATAAAAGACATTTCTCAAAAATGAATGACATTCTGAGTGATTATTGACATACGGATCGCCCATGCAAGAATTAGATTGGTAAATCGATAGACGGTATTGGCGGATCTCCAGAAAACCTAACATCAGTCACTTGAGAAGTGGAAGGAAGGAGACCAAACCTTAGAAACTAAGATTCGTAATTTTTCTTGATGGCAATTGTTCTAAATACATATTTCATAGACAGGTCATTAAAGTAAAACCAAGTTTACCTACACTAAATATAATTTATACAGTATTATATATATATATCAATTTTCGGTCTCAGGAGCGATGGATTTTGACAAACGAAGTGCCGAAAGAAAGAAAATTTCTCGGCGAAGTGACGAATTCCAATTTAGATACTTAAATTTGTACTAGGAATTTAATAAAATTGACCGAAAAAAATTAGTAGGTTCCAATACTTGTAGTAGTTTCTGCCAGCCACCGAAGCTTATCTTGAGGTTGCTGTGAAGTACTTTCCTAAGTCAAGATTCATTTCCCAGGGTCGCACATGGCTCTAAGGCTATAGACAAAGTAGGCTGTTCAGTTTTCAATAATAAAAAAATACAAGCTTTCACCACTCAATATGTACTGTAGAGCTACAAGGAATAAGTTTAGCTATATAGACGGCATTAATTTGGACTGGCGGGATATGAAAACAACGTAACATGGATGAGAAACGGTTGTATGACTTTTGTATGTTATGAAATATTGGTTGGTAATGTATCGGATCTAGCTTCCAATTGTGATTCTAATGTAGGGAATTTCACTATAGGCGGCATGTATAAAACTATTTCTTCTCGTATTACATCTGTCCACCTATTCATGGGACTAAACCTTGCTGTTTTAGACTGTTTAGTCTCAATTGGTATGCGTACAAATTTGTTTGGATAACTATAAGATCAAGTATTTCATGAGTCAAAATTTTACGATAAATAGACACTATAGATTGGCCACCTTGGAGGTGATGGGCTGTCCCTTCATCATACTACTGACGTCGCAATGGTTGTATTGTTTTACTCTTCAGATTTATCAGTTTTTACTCTTGTTCTTCATCAATCAGCTTTATTTCTTCTGATGTTAGTTTCATGGTATATTTAGCTGTCCACTTTTTGGAGACAGCGGCCTGCGTAGAAGAGCACCCGAAACTTTGATGCAAATCACTGCTTCTTCCAGATGACGTATCATTCGTCGACAGAACACGATCTGAATCAGAAATTTCATCTGGACTGAAGTCAGGATCGGCAACGGTCATCATCATAAACAATATTTAGTTGTTCTTGGACATTGTCATCTTCATCTAAAGTCGATTCATTAGCACTATACGCGAAATCACAAAGAAAAATCTGTATTAATCGACTCTGGTAAAAATATAACACTCAATTAACACCTCCTCCTGAAGTAATATAAGATAAATCTATCCTTATTAACCTTATTTATAAAAATTAAATTGTGCGTACGAGCGCAAAACATTGAACAACAGCTCAACTATTGTATAAATACGAGAATTTTCATACGAAAGGCACCACTATTCAAGTCCCAGTATTTCAATGGAAACTTACCGAGCCCTACCTTTTAAAACAGTTATTTATTTATAAACAACTGCCAATTTTTTTGAGATAAATCAATAATCATGCCGAAACTTTCATTGGTACCTTGGTTCTCAAGGGATATTTATCAGATGTTTTAAGATTTTAAAAATTAAGATTATCCTTATTTTTCATAATTTATGAAATGTTAAAAATCTATTGAAATATTAAAGGAAAAAGAGGAGAATAAACTTGAATTCCCTTGAAAATCTCAGTATTTGTAAGATAGAAAGAAATTTGTTGATATTTTTTATAAAAATAAACATGTTTTGTGGACATTTTTAAATGATTTAGGTTCTCTACAGCGATGATGAAGTTCTTGTCCAAATCTGAACCCTACACTCCACTCTTATAATTACAGCAATCCTATATGAGTCATGGAATATATTACTACCCTTTTGGGTACAAGCACTCTGTTGAACAATGCAGATCAGAAATGTATGCATGTTTGTAGGATATGCAGATATGACAAGTACAGTTAATTAGTTCTCGATTGTGGTAGCTAAGGTAGTAACCACTTTGTGTCGACAGGGGGGGGAGGGGTTTGTAAGAAAAGTTGAAAAGCATAATATATTTTCAAATTCAAAACTTCATATCTTTAGGTACTTGAGGGTGCAGTAATAGAGATCCTATCTTATCAAATTTCATACTGAAACTATGCCCTCCGGATATAAAAAAAAGTAAATTATTTATTTAATTTGTATTCCTCTCCAAATATTATTATTTATTTATGATATTTACAACTGTATTAAGAATAAAAAAACGTTTGCCAAGTAAGGTCCAGTATAGCTTCCTCGCCAAATTCACTAATATTTTCCATCAGTTAACAAAATACAAGACAGACCTATGGATACTTAAAACTTATCGATGCTTACATCCTACCTTTCAATTATAACTTGTTCAAAAAGATTTGAACTAAAGCCCCTTACCACTTTGTAGTTTGAGAGAGAAATTGAGACCAGGACCAATTGGTTGAATTTCAGAAGGAACAATCGAACTCACAAATATGACGTTATGTTTTAGAGTTTGTGCAAAATTTAATTTAAATTTGCAAATATACATAAGGTACATATAGTAAAGGAAAATCGCATGCCTAAGCGGAAGCTGTGGATGGGGCAAAATCTATATTGGGCCATCGAAGTTTTAACCCTTCACTAAAAATCACACGATTTTTTTTATAACGGCAGTGGGTGTCATGCCAGTAATATGTAAACGACAAAACAACCAGTTTAAATTAATTTTTTTGAATACAGTCTAAAATTTGATAATCCCATAAAACAATACTAACTCAACATAACCTCCCCTTTTCCATGATCAATGCTTTCCACATTTCACAGCCATTATGTTTTTAAAAGTTATTTATATTAATTTTAAACGTTGAATAGAATTCAATGAAATTGATACTAGGGAATTCCTGCAATATTCTCCACCTTCCTTCAAATTTCGGTCAAATCGAACCAGCCGTTTTCAAAATATAGGCGTGTTAAAAACAATACGTTTTCAGATTCGAAAGCGGAAATATTTTCTGAAAGTAGGGAATGGAATATTCTGGAATGGACTTTATCAATCTTGGCATCTACTTCGTCAATCCTTAACTTCCCTCCTGCTTTGAACCAAATCGAACGTGCGGTTTTTAAGATACAGATGTATCACGAAAAATACGTTTGGGCATTTTTAAGAAAAAACAGTTGACGGAATGCAACAAAATTGATACAGCATTATTTTTTAACCAACACCTATCTTTCTTCCAGAATTGAGTCAAATCGAACGAGCTGTTTCTGAAATATTGGCATACCTAAGGAAATACATTTACTGGTGCATAAGCAAAAGGGTTGCTTGGAATTTGATGAAATTGACATGGGACCATCTAGGCATTAATCGGCACATTCTCTAAAAATTTCATAAACTCAGATCAAAGGTAGTAGGTGATATACCCTTATATCGATTTGACTACAGACAGACAGGAACCAAATTTAATCTTTGATGTCTGAAAAGTAAAACATGAGTGGAATTTTTCGATTCTGAGCTCATAATATTTTTTAATTTCCTGCAGAAATACAAAGCTTCTATACCTTTAGCAATGTATTGCTTCCTCATACTCCTAATACTAAATTTATTTCAAATCAGAATCCCACTAATAAATCAAATAATAGACATTCCAACAAATTCAATTAAAAAATAAAATTAATTGGATGAATGAAGCAAATACAAAACCAATTTAAAACACCATTTTCAATTTTGTCAGATTATTTTATGATATCAAAAATGTTTTCATTGCTATAAAACCTTTATAATTTATCAATAACTAATATCATAAAATTCACAGTACCAGTTTAACATATTAAAAGGTCTAAACTTTTACATATGTATTTAAAAGGGAAATCACTCTTATCATCATGCTGCCTTATTCAAGTAGAGCATATTACATGTTTTGTCATGTTCAGCTGCCACTGTAGCGACAACTGCGGTGGATCATATTCATGCAACAATGAAAATGAAAACATCATATCCTTTGAAAAATACTGGGAGCACAATATCAAACAGTCAGATGACAACAGGGAAGATATAATGAGAGCTGCATTCAATTTAAAACTTGCTTCATCAGATTCGGAGGTAAAGGTTATAAACTTTTAGGTAAATCTATTCTGTTATAAACATACATACCTGAATTAACATTAACAGAATGTAAATAAGAGCAACTCAAGATTTTATGCAATTTGTTAAATGTTTGAAAAATTATTAATTAGTAGTTGATATACAAAGGCATTTAAAAAATCATTATCTCTAACAAGATCTTTAACTGTATAATTCCATTCTATAATGAACAAAATTAAATCAACATAAGCATAATGAAAAAAGAGAAAGTCAAATCTTTACATTTTGTCTATTAAAAGTAATATTTATTATAATATACATAAAACTTTATACAATTTATCAAATTTAAAAAAGATAATATCTTGATCTCTATGTTCCTTCATATATATCTTCATTTAAACTAGGTGCAATTTATTATTAGTATTTTTCTTATTGCAATTTAGTATTATGTAGCATCTTTGAATCATTATTGAATGTATGAAAAACTTATAAATATATAAGTGATCTAAAAAGTCATTTTAAATAAATGAACTGTTTCAATTTTTTTATCTATTTAGAAAATACTTCTTAGCTGTATAAAAATTTTTATTTTCAATAGTGAATTGTTTAATATTAAAATAAAATCATATTTTTGTATTTAATTTAGGAAAGCATAAAGAGTTCTTTTAGTGAAGATCACTTAGACAGTGTAACAGAAGTTTCCAATAACACCACACCATCTCACATTGCCATACCGCCATCTGATTACGATAAACCATGTCTTTCTAGGTAGGTATAGTTTCTGACTATATCAACTATAAGTATTTCAGTTTTTTCTTGACACAAGTAATAATTATAAATAAATATGTTTGAGTACATTATTTTATTAATAGATGTGTTCTTAAGGCAATTGAAGGAAGGTAGTTATGAAATAGTACACAGCAGTATGAAACTGTCAATTTTTACACTATGTCATTGAAGCTAATTTTTTAGGATATTCGGCGAGGATATATATATACATCACACCAACAATGTAACATTTTGGTTAAAAGCATTATCAAATTTATTACAGCTACCATACATTTTATATTATGGAAATGATCCCAAACTTTATTTACTAGGACCAACTGAAATATCCCTGTTCATTTGACAAAATATCATTAAAGAAAAAAAGTAGGCTGGGTCATGGAAAACTAAGTTCATGTGGAATTAGAAATCAAAAAGAGATTAAATTTTAATGAAGATTCATGAATACATAATTATTAAAAGAGGAACTAAAGTTATGTAGATTCCGAACTAATAATGATTGTAAATTCTCAAAAAAAAATTATGTATCATTTATTGAAAATAAAAAGGTATGTATTCGTTTTTGAGGGTGGTCTTGCTCTCTCGTGGAGTGTAGCGCCAGAAAAAAAATTATTGGAGTTCTTTAACTCGGTCCTATGAAACAAGGCTATTTTCCTGGGAACAAAAAAAAAGAAAAAATGTAGGCCAGGAAGAAAAATAATTATATAATATTGAAAGCAGGTATCATAATGAAGATGGTAGAAGACAGATGGCAAAAAAACAAATTTTCCTACACAAGCCAGAGAATAGGAAGAAGAAATAAGAAATGGCCAAGAAAGATCTGAATGGAAGATTTAAAAGATGTGATGGCTGTATGAGAAGACTGCTTTGATAGGAGAGTATGGCAAGAGTTAATTCTGAAACTATAATTAGAATAATTGCACTAAATCGAAATAATTAATTATTTCTAGAAATTAAAATTAAACTTGTTACTGTGTTATTGTTCTTCATGCCATTTTCTATTTTATCAGTGACCTACGTCCATTTGGTAGGCTATGTCTCTTTATCATATTTTGTATGATACAATGGCAATTTCAACCTTACAGTTATTTTTACAGCTATTTTGTGCCAGAGAAGTATACTAAAGCTAAAGTGGGAACATTCAGAAAATCTGGAGAAAGAAATTTCAAAATTGAAGCAAGTTCAGCAATAAATAGAAGGAAGAAGCAGTTTGAGATTGATAGGCAGAATATGGTAAGATTCTGATATTGGTTTTTTAATAATTCTGTCAGTAAATTAATATTATCCAATTTTTAATTAGTTAATATATATATAAAACTTAATATTTTGAATACTAGGAGGTACGCCTGTCCGTCTAATGGTAGACCAACCCCCATTTTACGAATTATACAACTGTTCATTTAATTGTACTACTCGCTCTAATTGTATAACTGTAATTTACAAGTATTCTATAGTTTAGATTGTATTATTTTTTATGAACATAAAATAAATGGAAGAAACGCAAAGTTCGGACAAATTTTTAATTTCTTTAAAAATCTGTATTATACATCACACCTTATTGCCAATTTGTAACCATAATAAGAAAGAAATAATTCTATCAAAGAGAAGTGTGTGGTGCTTTGTTACAGTCCGTCCCGCTTTTTAATATAATAGAGAGATAAATTTGTGCTATTACTTATAACATAATTTATTAAATAATTTAATCTTCACCAAATGGAATTAAATTTTCATTATCAACCTTTCTATATTTACCAATTGTTGATGCATAACGTTATTAGTAAGCTGGAATGGCATAGATTATGATTTCCTAAATTAAAAATCAATTGTTAAAATCCAAATTTTGCTGTATAGGTAATTTTCTGACATTTTAAAATTATTCCAAAATTTATTAAATAATTATTTGTTTTATCGGGAGTTCTACAATATTATAAAGATGTACTTTTTCCATCTTCCTAGGGTATTATTTTATAGTAAATTCTCTAAAAAAATAATTATGTAACTTTATAACCAAAATATATACAAACTACATTATAAATTCTAGTTTTCCATTGAATAAATTATAAAATGTAATAACAAAGAACTCACTGATATATATATTTTATAATAGTAGTATGAAATAGAACATAATGATATAAACTAATAAGCATTAACATTATCTGTAATAAACATCTAAGAGACAAAAGTACTTAATATTGATTAATATGTAACTTATTTTTTCCTCTCCTAAAGATAATGCTTCGAAAACTAAGAGAAGTGAAGCCAGTAGTGGTCTTGCCAAGATAAATGAGTTTTCAAAAACCTATTTATTTGTTACTGTGAAGATAAATAAATTACAAAAAATAAAATTTATTTGTTATTTATTTACCTGTTTATCCTGGAGGCAAGTGAGAATCCTTTGTTCATCAGATGTAAGTTTGGAAAACTTTTTTATCCAAGAAGAACCTCCAACTTCTTCAACAGTCTCAGCAAAATTTTTGAAGAATCCCCTCTTATCAGATTGAAGGGTTACAGCATTGCATGCTGATTGGTAATCATCCATTTCTACTTTAAAATATTACTAATTTTAGACATTATTATTTTTATCTGGTATTTACACTATTCAAAAAAGAAATTCCTTTAAATTAGACTCATAAATTCACTTTTAAAGTAAGCAAGCTTAACACCTACCTAGGAATAAAAGAACAGTTTATTAAATGAAAATTTTCGGTAATTACTTAGATGAGTACTGCACGGGTTACGCATGGTTCAAATACCCCTCCAATCACAGTTATTCATGAAACGCCGAAAAAAGGCTTTCGGGTAACCTCGGAAGCATTCGACGCTCCATGAACAAGTGTGACCAAATGATTGTGAACCACACATAACCCGTGTGGTATCCATCTAAATAATTATCAAATTTTTTAAGAGAAGCCCTATAAGTGGCCATTTAAATTCAACTTTAAGTCAGGTGTTCTTGAGGAACCTTTCACACTATACAGATAAATACTGTAATCTACATTGGAGAATATATTTATATTAACAATGATTGTAGCTGCTAAATTAGAGACTCAAATTCCAAATAGAACACAAAAAATAAATGAAAATATAAAACTGAACTTTTACGGGGGGTGCTTTTCACAATGGCTTCTAGACAAAAGAGGGTTTTTAATAAATAAAAGGAAGAAGAAATTTGTCAAAAATAGGTAAAATCTATTTTAAAATAACATATTAATTTATTGAAATGCCTTTATTTTATATTTTATATGACTAAATAGCAAATTTATATTTAAAAAGCTTCAAGATATTGAATCAAGTGTTTTAAATATTTCTTGTCAGTAGAATAATATCGGCTATCGATACATAAAATTTATGAAATTCCAAAATTTGAATATTGAATATTTAATAGTTGACGATTGCATTACAAAGGAAGCAGATGGTCTAGGGTGGCGGTCATAAATAGGCTAAATAGTAGTAAAACTATTTTATTAAAAGCCAACGTTTCGACCCGACTTTGTAGGTCTTCTTCAGGTAGGTGTGTTCAGCTAGTTTCACTTAGAACTCAGTTCTCAGTTCCCCCAGACCCTGGACCATCTCCTTCCTTCAAAATTTGGATACTTCAATCAGCAATCAAATCAGAAATTTGAAATGTTGACCATACACAGTTCACACCCTTTCCGAAACCATTATATATGTGTATAAGAGAAGAGTTACATTTATTTGTTATTATTGATTTTTTTCAACAAAATACTTTATAGATTTGATTAATTGAGTAATTAATTAAATAAATTACTTAGAATTACTGTAGATGAATAAACTTGAATTCAGAAAGTTTCAGAGAACATTAAGAAATATATAAATCATTGCTAGTTAGGTTAACGTGTCAATTCTGATACTACACAATTAAAGTTATGCTGTAATAAAATCCTAATTTACATAAATTGTTATTGCAGTTGCATTCACTCATATTTTACCAATGTCTCCATAATGGACATTTTCCACATTAAAAAGATTAATGAACTAATGTACATATTCATTCATATCTTTGAAAAAAAAAAAAAAAGTGATCAACCAATTATTGTAAATATATATACATTTCTATATGATACTAAAAACAAAAAAGATACACAAACAGTGTTAGAGATTTTATTAATATTAGAAAAAAGAAATTGGTCTTATTAAATGATAAATTACTAAAACAAATGCATGAAAGGTTATATTTATGTAAGGTACTTATGTGAGATGGTCAAACAATCTCTTAAAAACATCACTAACAGCTAATAAAAAAAAATAAAAAAATCTTACCAGCCAAATTTGAAGAAAAAGGTAAAAGAAATAAACAAAACCAAAATTAACAACTACAATGCAATTTCTGACACAGAAAGCTTGCACATGGGTGAAGTTTAATAATAGATTTGAGGAGATTCTCAGTTTAAATTTAACTTCCACTACCCTTTAACTAATTTTTCACCTTAATTTTTAAAACATACAATGAACTTGATAAATAAGAACAATAGTTCACATCTGTCCATTATTCCAATTTTTGTACTCATGGGAATATTATTGGCATTTTAAATGGAATAGATTAAGTATTATTAAAGTTATTTAAATTAAACTTTGGATGAAAAGGATTAAATACTTAAAACAATGATCATATTCTACGAAGTAATGGGTGATAAATATTCAGGACGCAGTCTTTTTTAAAAATATTTTTTTTTTTTTTATTAATGCAAACCTTTCAACCCAAACATGTGGGTCATCTTCAGGGATGAAATTTTTTCTTATATATACAATCAGAGATTTTTCATCAAAATCCACTAATCCGAAGTGGCACTTTATATCATCGATGAAAGACATTTCTACTATTTTCTCAAAAATGGCTCAATTTTGACTCAATTCATTATATAAGTGTAAAATTAAACAGTTTTTAATATTATGTGGGTTTTATTCTCATTGATGCTCTCTAACAGGGATTAAATGGCTAATTTTCAATATTAGATTCCTCTAAAGTACCTATAATTTTTTTTATTTGAAACAATTAACCATTTCACATAGATCAAATATAAAATACATTGGTTAAATATAAAATATGCAAGAATTTGATAATTAACTAAAGGAGAAATAAGAGATCGTAACAGAGAATAGTTGTAATGAATGAACCAAAGAGAACCGAGAGCGCGCCTGAGCTCAAAGATTAGAACAGGCTTCCATAGTAACATGAGCTTAATATAATATGGACACTGACAATATTATGTACAAGTAAATATGTGGTTTTCCTAAATATTTTCGTGGGTATTATTTTATATTATAGATTACAGCGATATAAATATTAAAATTTGTACATATAAGGGTACTTAAACAAATAAAAATATTCACAATGAAATATAAATCAATAAAGAATACTTAATAGTTGACCGTTGTATTTTCCATGATGGGATGGTCCGAGGTGACGTTCATAAATAGACTAAAATAGTGGCAAAACTATTTTATTTTAAGCTGTTTCGAACTGACTTTGCAGGTCTTCTTCAGGGCTAGAACGGATAAGATACAAAAGGATATAGACAATTGTGGGAAGTTACATAATATTTAGATAAAAAATATAAACAGGGTGAATAAACTTATGGAAATATTAAAGAGTAAGCACATTGAGATATTAAGAAAGTTAAACTGTATAAAAAGAATAATCTAAGTAACAAGATCCTAAACTGAAGTAAATAAATGCTAACAATTGTTGTAGGATAATTTATAATATAATATAAGCAATTATAAATATACTCTGTAGATATTGAGATCTGTAGGAGTATATGCATAATTGTATATATTATATATTACACTACAATAATTTTTACCATTTATTTACTTCAGTTTAGGATCAGGTTACTTAATTTACTCTTTATATCTCAATGTACCTACTGTTTAATATTTCCAGTAGTTTATTCATCCTGTTTTATCTAATTATTATGTAACTTCCCACAATTGTCTATATCCTTTTGTATCTTATCCGTTCTAGCCCTGAAGAAGACCTGCAAAGTCAGTTCGAAACAGTTTAAAATAAAATAATTTTGCCACTATTTTAGTCTATTTATGGCCTTCACACAGGACCATCTCCTTCCTCATAAATCAATACAGCATTTTTACTTTCACTTCCCTTTTATCTGAAAATACTTATTTCTGCTAAGAAGAGGGTGGTAAGTGAAAGTTGTGTGAATTTATATCTTTTTTACATGAATTATAAAATAAATAAAAAAGAATAAAAGGAAAGGAGTTGGGAAATTTTATAGTGGATAAGTATTCTAAACAAACCAAAGCATTCTAAACCATAATAAAATATGATTTAATCATTTTTCGAAGAACTTCTTTCACTTTATAAATCTAGTATACAAATGTTAATTAGATAAGAATTAAATGAAAAAAAAAAAAGGATTTGAATAGTTCAGAAAATCTAAGCATCGTGTAAGTTGTTGAAACTATACAAATCAAAATATAAAGAGGAATATATATTCAGAATAAATATATATAAATATAATATCTCATATCTATTCTTTTTTTTTCTTATTCATTTTCAAGGTTACGTCTTAAATAGCTTAGCTCTGATAAACACCTACAACTTAGGCCAAAACTAAATATTCACTTTTTAAAAATTATAATTTTTTTTTGAGTGAAGTTCTACTTGGGGTTTAACAAAATAATTTATGACTAAATTTTCAGTTTAAGTAACTGCCCCTTGGCATTAAAAAAATATATATGAGTAAATAAACTTCAAGAATGCCATACAAATATGACAAAGTAAATTTTTTAACTATCAATAAATAACAAAGGCAGAAATTATTATTAAAACTTTCATATGTATCTCATGTTCACAATTAGCACAACAGATTAGTTAAAAAACTGTTCTTAATAATTTATAAGGAAATTTAGAGATGGGGCTTACTGAATGAATCTAACCTTCCCATTTCATTTAGTATACCCCATCCTCTGATACTTTAATATCACTAGCCCATACCTAGTAAGAGTAAATACGTGTATTAAACCCAACAAAGGAACAAATACAAATTTTATTTATTTTCACCAGTGGAAATCTATTATTTATAATTGTTATAGTAAATAAAAATTATCAAGTTCTTGTCTAATTACTAAAAAAAATTATATTCATAGAAACATTTAGTTTGCAAAATTAATTGTAGTCATGCAATTAAAGACATTCAGCTACCATAAATTTCTATCATCATACTTTCTATTGCTAAGATACCTCTAGATACTAACTACATTAACAACGTAACCCAATTCGTTACTCCTCATCTCTTTCTAGAGATCTTGAGGAATGGTATTTTTATTTAGAAAAAAATATCTTAAGTGGTATTTATATATAAAGGAAAATAAAAATAACATGTAAATTTAAAAAGATATATATTTTTACAGAATTAAGTACATACACGCCTACAGGAATTCATAAAACAACATAATAATATACAGTTACAGAGAAAACTAAATATTTATGCAATGTCATTCTTGATCTAAAAATCATGATAAAAAAAATTCACAGGTTTTTAAATTTCAATATACAATGACACATTATCTGTATTTCCACATAATATAAGGAATTAATCAGATAAATATATATACTACCACTATCACTGATGTAAATTATATAAAAAACATTTATCATTAATTGCCTATGTTAATTAATTTGATTACTGAGTCATCAGTTAATGAGAGCTTCCATAAAAAAAGAAGAAACAGAAATCAAAGTCAAGATATGAAAGAACTTCAAACTATAGAACTTTGTTCGAAAATTATTTCAAATGTTCCGAAAGAATTTTTTTTCTCTTAAAAAAGTTAACCATACATTAAAATTATTTGTTTAATAAATAAGGATAATGTTAAACAACTATGGTTTGGTCAAATTAAATTTCATTTATTAAATGCATTAGACAGCTAGGTCATAAAACTTCCTTTAAACAACTTATATCTAATAAAAATGTGTATTCCAAATGCTTAGTACTTAAATGTCTTTTATCGTTTCAAACAGTGATATTAAAGTTATATTTACTATCTATAAAAACAAAAATTATTCTTATAAAAATAATTCTTTTCATGAAGCAAATTAAAACATTTTAATATAAAAACTAAGAACTAATATTGCTTATTACACTTACAAGTATTTGCTTACACATTTATTATTTACAAATATTGGACGGATCACTGATATTAAGGCATCAACTTATAACCTAAATTACCAACACTATTTTTTCATAGTGCTCCACAAAATTTCATAGTGCTTTAATTATAAAATAGGGTGATTATATATACATAATATAGAATAAACATAGCCTAAAGAAAAATTTAAGCTCACATAAATTATTTTAATACTAAGTAAATATGAATTCATGAATATGATACAGAAACGATTACAATAGTTCCTGGAATAATGAATTTAATATTTAAGAAAAATATACTTTACAATAATTCAAACATCTTGAACTTCTACAAAACACCCATAAATAACGGAAAATGTTTTCATCTATATATAAATAAAATAATTAGAAATAGCATTTTTATAACTGTACTAAAACCAGTATTGAAAAAATTATGTTAGGTGGAGGAGACAAAAAATAAATAAAAATAAAACAAACTATATATATATATATATATATATATATATATATATATATATATATATATATATATATATATATATATCACAACTAATTATTTATAACTGATAAACATTTATTATTTTTAATTATTGCAATGCTCTACAACAGCATAAGATAAATAACTATCAATTAGAGTAAAACCTCCTATACAACTTATGGAATAATTTTTTCTCAAGCTCGTGTTTAGCAGAAAAAAAAATCAATTCAGGAAATTAAGGAAACATAATATTTGTAATCTCTTTTCCATTTGTACACAAACTATAAAAATATAAAGATGGGTAGTCGACTGAAGGAAAGAAGTAGTCGACTGATCAATTATAAGAATGAAACAAAACTGTCAGGAATTTCATTTCATTCTTATAAAAATATAAAATAATGTAAATAAAAAACGAAAATAAAGTCAGTTCAGTGACATTAATAAATTATAGATTCAGTAAGTTAAAAAAACAACATGTCTTTTGGAAAAGCTTCATGAATTCATTTCTCAGCAATAATAGAAAATCAAATATACAATAAATGCTTAGCTGAAAATTTAAAAGTATTGATTTGTTTAATATTTATCACAACAGATATTTATATATGTTTTAAACTCATTTTTATAATACATATAAACAATAAGAAAGAGTCTAAAAAGACAATAACAAATTAATACTATACATAATACTTGGAATTATATAATTCTAACATAATAAAATAATCGAAAGTATTAAATTACTACCAGTGGAATGTGATGTATGGACGAAATCATTAAATATACCACAATGTTTTTTTACAAAGAAGTCACACCATCACCAAAAATATCCCTTTCTATACAATGTTTGAAGTTCAGGTATCCTAAATAGCAGGCATAAAAATAGCACATCTTCATAATCAGTTTAATTAAAATTAAATTCAATCTTGAACTACTGATTTAAACGATAAACAGCAACGTGTTTTCAAGTTCTTTTAGTCATACAAGGAGTGACGACAACGAACTTACTAAACATAAAAATTCTATTTGTTTATATCCAATACAACTAATATTTAAAATATTTATCTTTATGATTAACTTCATTGAAATAGTTAAAAGAAAAATTTATAAAATAATAGAACAAATATATTGAAACATTCAAGGGACAAATAATATTTTCTAAACTATAAATTTCATTTTTCTAACTAAAATATTTAATATACTGGCGAACAACCATGTGTGAGCGATAAGGAAACTTGTTTTATCAATACCTTGTTTTCATTAATTTATTAAAATTTCAATCAGTAAATATGATATACTAATAATCGTCATTAAATCTCTTTGAATTTCAAAAATTAATTCGTAAAGCATGAAATGTTGAGTCAGAATGACGTGATACAGAATATAGATTTTACCTCCTTACAAAGAGTAATAGTATTCCTAAAAATAAGTGAATTAAAGATAAATCATCAGATTTCACAGGAGATCATTAGTTTAAAAATCTGTTTAATTTTTTTTTTTAAATAACCAAATATCTAAAAAACATATGATGAGGCCTATTTGACCATACGGAGCTTGAATCCATTAGTATAAATAATTCTGGGTTTTTCGTTCAATATAGTTATACTAGGTTTTATACCACACCTAAAAATAAATTAAAAACATTTTGTGATAGAAGCTGATTGAACTGGTCTAATAAAAACTTATTATCTATATGAAAACAGTTTAATATATGTTCATTTATTGAAGTTTTATCAATATTTAATTTGTCTACTTGTTGTTTACAGTCTAACAAATTACATGGATACCTGATAAGTAAATAAAGATCAAAATATTTATATATATTAGATCTTAGAAGAACATACATTTCCTTATTAAATAACAATAGAATTAATATACATATATATAATTACAATTGAGCACATAAATTATCAGTTTAAATTCTAAATCATGTCTTTATCAATAAAATCAGTCCGCACAATGAAGTTTGAAAATTAGTTTTCACGTATATTTGTTTAAGAATAAGTAAGAATCCAAAAGACCTATTTCGAATTCTCAAATGAAGGAATTTATGTTATATTGGTTGGGCATATTAGCAAAACATTCTTTAGTTACTACAAAATTTTATAAAAATAAATAATGATCTAGAAACAATGCCAGTTGAGGCATCCTTATAACTGATAATTCACATAACACAGAATAAAATATGAAAGACTTTAATTTTAAACGAATAATATAAATTTACTAATTTCTAAACAGATCTGTTTGTGTAACAGGAAAGTCTATTGTCACAAAGTCTTTTCACACAGAATGGCAACAATTTGTTACAAAGAGTTCTATTGGTGGGACACAATAGATCAGTCAATTGTAACAAAACGGTTGAGATGTCATCAAGAGACACCAAAGGATTACAAAGGAGTGAGATCGACCCGAAGCTCAACAGGCCAGCCGCGGAAGACCCCTGGGAGGTGGCTGTCAGAAGCTGGTCTCGCCCCTGTTCTCGGCCAGGACTGGGCTGGGGGTCATCCCGGGGTTGTCGTAGGCCGCGTACTCCAGGGTGGCGTCCTCGCTCGGGTGACGGGTCGAGATGGGGGTCGTTGTCGTCACCACGCTCGGCGCTCCCGCGGTCGAAGCGGGCGGCAGGTCCATCGGCCGGATCCCGTTACCTCCACAATCCTTGTTGTTGTTTACGATACCCTGCAACAAAAAATAAGGTGATTTAAAACAATGAATTAACTTAAATTATAACACATTTATAGTCTCTCAATATATTTATATTTTAATAAGTTAATCAAGTAAATTTACAAGAACTTTCTTTACCAATAGTTAAGTAAGATTGCCACAAGGTAGATACAGAACTAATAAAATTTTTGAAAATGTTGCGTCTTCGAGGCTGAGCAGTGCGAACATGCAATTTTATGTTGTTCGAACAATCTCTTTAGAAAAGAACAAGAGAAATTAGAAACACGACTTACAGAAGTTGGTGAAGACTGCTCGCGACAGTTGGTATTCTGTAGCAAACTACACTGGTTATATCCGCCAAGGAAATAAAAAAAAAAAGTAGGCGCATAAGACTGGTGTTTTCTCGGGGTAATGCCTGCAGTGTTGGGTTCTAGAAGAGTAAAGGTATTGAAATACCTCGGGTCCTACCTGGATGATGTGGGGACGGCTGAAGTGGATGTCCGAAACAAGGTAGAGATGACAAGAAAAGCAACTAGAATGCTGCATCCTGTTTTCAGGAACAACATTATTTCAAACGCGAACAAGCGGCATATCTTCACATCTATTGTCGATGAATGCTATGGCTTGTATGACAAAATACAGATTGGAATGGAATAGAAATGGAGTTTTGGAGGTTTCTACAGTTAACGAGGCTGCACAAGGTCCGAAATGAAGTGGTGAGACGGAGAATAGATGTAGAGGAGACCGTCTCTGAGAGGATCGGTAAACGGCGGTCGAGGTGGTATGGGCACTGCAGGAGAATGCCGGAAGAGCATTGGTCGAACAGAGTCCTGGACTAGCAGTCACTCGGAAAGCGTAGGCGAGGACGATCGAGAACCACGTGGATGGAAGGAGTTCGAGAGGCGATAGCTGGCCGAGGTATACAGGATGGGGACTAGGAGGATAGAGGTGTGTGGAGCTCGGCTCTGACCTAAAGAGGTATCCCGTTGGAACACCGGAAATAAGTAAGTAAGTCCTTATTAGGAGGACCAAAGTTTATCATCGAGACATCGAGCAGTGTAGCATCTGCTACAAAACTTCATCAGAATAATTTAAAAATATCTGATCATCTCCTATACACTTTAAAGAAATCAACTCAATTTATATATATCATAAATTAATTTTGAAATCTCTTGCCGAATTTAAGTCACCTACTTTCTTCTTTTCGAGAAAATTCACCATTATCCTTCATCAAATGGGTAATTAATTATACGGCTACTATAAACCTATAAAGCTATATGTAGAAAATTATAAAATAAGTTGGTATTTTCATCCAAAGACCAATAATAAATCCTTCGAAAAAGGCTTACCGACACGGTAGAGATCTTCTTTTCCATCATGTCCTTCTCCCTGGTAGATGCCTTGCAGAGCCTCCGGTACTTGAGCCAAGCGAAGCCAAGGCAGGTGAGCATGGCCACTCCGACCAAGAGGCTGAGGGTGAGGGAGAGGGCAACCATCGCCCTCAGGCCCTCGATGGAACCTGAAATAATAATAAATAAAAATCATAAACCAATAATAGGCATTGAAGGGAAGTTGGTGGCCATTTCAATTAATCAACAAGAGTACAAAATAAAAATAAATAAATTTTATTAATATCATTTCCTATTTATAAAATTAATATAATTTAATTATTTACTTTCATTGACTGAAAACCCCAACCAACTTCAATATATTTTTTGCAGTCAATAATCCATCAAAACTAATAATATGGTATATGATATTATCTTGAAAACATAACATTAATTAATATTCTCTGATTTGGAGAGTAATAGTTTTGATAAATCTGAATAAGAAGTTATAAAGAAAATAACCAACGTCACGTCATATAAATTCTATCCTCCCCCCCTCACCTTTATACCAAATTTTCACAAAAGGTTTAAAAAACACACAATTTCATTGCTTATAACCTGATTTCTTCTTATAATTTATAATCATCCCTCAACTTGAAAACTCTATAAATTTTGAAGAAATCACGCACATTTGAGTTGCAATAGAATTCAGGTGATAAAGGACGTAGAAGATTGTAATTGTACTATTCAAATAATAAATAAAGGTTCAAATTTAAATAAAAACTTGAAATAACAGTACATCTGGGAGGTGTGGTGGAGAATGGTGGTGTGTCCTGTGTACACCATACATTGCGTTAATGTACACCGCTGCAAACACGATGGTATAAAAAAAAACTCTTATCCCTACTTCATAAATATGCATTTATATAAGCTAATTAAATACAATTTAAACTAAATATTCCGAGTAGAGATGGCAGGTTGAGAGAAAAACAGAAAAATATTTCATGCATAGTCCAATGACCTCGTCCAAGTTGCACCAAATGGACGTAAAGTTTTTTTTATCTTATATGGGATATTACTGCGATGCGAATTCCAAATGTTTGAACTAAGAGCTCCCCCGGATCACTTTTTAAAATCCTAAAAACAGTTATATTTTCGAACTTCTTTCTGTTTTTCCCCATTTCGACCATAAAGGAACACGTTTCAATACTCAACACGTTTAATATTTTCCTCATGATACTAGTCTTATCACAACTGAATTAATGTTACCGAAAAGAAAAAAAGGCTTACCGAGCATTTCTTCTCGAACTTCTTTCTGCATATCCTTTCCTTCATCGTAAGTGACGTAATGTTTAACAACATCATGGATGTAATCTGAAAAGAGAGAATACATTTACAAGAACCGTCTATGAGTTCCATAAAAATTCATAAATATATCTTATTGAACGACAATAAAATCTAATAAATATATAAGAATGCTGTATATATATATATATATATATATAAAGTGCAATGGAAGTGTTATTTGACAGCTCCATCATAGAACTAAAAATTACTCTAATATCTCATTAAGTTAACCCTTTAATATAAACCAGCACACCACAGGGAAGACTTTCACAATACTTTTTCTTAATGCGTTCCATATGTAAGCAACATCAGGGAACAATGTTTATTCATACATACAATATAATATTATCAAGGTAGGTTATTCAACAAACACGATATGCGAAGCTTTATATTGGTTTATTATTTTCAATAATGAACCATTATGATCGAACAAAAAATTTAAAAACTCAATCCCCTCTCACAATTTGAGGTTTTACGTTTCAGCATACGTAGAATTCGAAAAACGAATAAAAATTTTTTTGTCCGTCCGCCGTCCGCGCATTTTCACTGAAAATACTGGACCGATTTTTTTTTCAACTTTGGATTTAAAATCAGAGGTCACCCGAGGATGATCCTCCTTCATCGACATTACTATCCGCCTTTTACTTTCAAAATGGCGCCCGAAAAACCTGCGTTGCTACAGACAATAGCGCCTTAACGAATATACCGATTTCAATGAAACTTGGCTAAATTCTTCTTCTTGATGCCCTTTAAATTTACTTATAAAACGCTGGAAAAAAAGTTACGGGAAATTGTAAAATTAAATTCCGAATAACTCAAAAAGTATAAACTTTTTTGTTGATATTGTATATGGTTTTTCAAAAATTCACGAAATTTCCTAAACAAAATCGTTAAAATATGACAATCAGGAGCAAAGATAGAAGTGGGCGTTTCTCCTACTTTTGAAAAACGAAAATGAACTGTTCGTTTACCAAAAACAACAGTTCTTAAGAACTGTTGAAAAAAATTAGTTCATGGAACAGCGAACGATTCAAGTAATGAATGAATCGTTTTATGTATGAAGTTTGGCGTTGTTCGAGCTTGAAATTGAAAACCTATTTTATTGTAAACCTATGTTTTGGATGTGTTACTGAAGTAATACTGCTTTTTTTATTTTATTTTATTTTTTACAAATTACAAAAAATGAAAAAAAAAAACTGTTAAGGCAAATAATTGGAATTAACTATTTTTTTTTCTTTTAATTTGTCATTAGGAGGGTAACGTTCTTTAGATGTATAATTGTTGGGAAATAATAAACCATTGTGAAATGTGTGAAAGCATAATAAACCAGTGTGAAAGCAGCGTTTTTGTTTTCTCTACTGTTCAAGTAACAATTTATTTAATAAGTGATTAGTTTGTCCAACTGGAAAATATCCATACAGTTGATAGTTAGCCAAAGAGACACTGCAGTTCCTGAACTTAAAAAAAAATGATACTACTAACTCGATGACTTAATTGTTTAGTGTAATAGGATCCTCGCCATGTAATTCTCACACTAACACTATAGAGGAAGCTCCATTACTGTGAGTATCGAAACCATATGGATATTTCTTTAATTTCTTAAAAATGTCAAAAAGTTTCTATATTGTCCGAAGTAACCAATGGTTCATAGACCTACCCTCCTTCGTTTACCCTTTTAATGGATACTTAGTTCGTCGAAGACTTCATAAACAGCGTTTGATTTTTTAAAACCTAAACATGTCGTGAGTATCCCACGGACACCAAAGCAACTAGGAGATTTTCGGCAATGATTGCAGTTTACCACATTCTATTTGCAACAATACACAGTCTTGATGATGATTGATGATAGACATAGAGATGATAGACATTTTTAAAACAACATATTCCGTTTCGAACCGTTGAGTTTTAAAACCATCTCGGTTTTCAAACGTTAAAATTCTTTTAATATCTCTTTTTGTTACACTAGGTTTCGAAGTTTTAAAATCAGCATTCGTCACTTCTCATTGAAATTCCTATTTGTTTGACACCTGATTAATCCAAGTTCATCACTACCGAAAGCTGGATAGGGGATCCATATTACTACATTAACCATTGCATAGTAAATATATTCTCAATAATAAAATTAAATTGCTCAACTTTTTTCCATTGAACATACATACAATTTAGTTAATAATTCAGAAACGCCATTAACATATTTCTTTACCACAATTAGTTGAGAAAGGAAATAAATTTTCTTAAGGAAACAATTATAAAATAACAACACCATTCCACTGCTCTACGAGGACGGAATGAAAGTAAACATCTAGTTTACTTCTGCTTGATGGTCTTAGGAAACAATTGTGGGAACCACTGTTTCCTCTAACAAAGCCAAACGAGAGAAGATTCTCATGAATGGACAAGGGAGTGAAAAACGAAATATGCATGATGACCAAAAAGTGATCGTCTTGTATAGAGAGCAATATTTAACCTCTTTCTCCTAATAAAATGTATTCTGAGTTATATAGACACCTATTTCCATAAGAACATTTAAAGGAGAACTTTATATGAAAACATGGACAACATGTTGAAATGAAAGGATTTTTATTTACAAAACATATACTACATATGCTAAATTTGGCTTCTTGGATATGGATATGTAGAACTCTTCAACGAAAACTCAAAGGGCGTAATGATACAAACTCATATCCGGTAACATTTTGTTATAAATAGGAATTTTCAATAGCCTAACTGGAGGTAGGTTCAAGGAAGTTTTTGATTCGCCGAATAAAAAATACATTATCGTGAAAATGTTGACCATGAACAGCCATAATCCGTGGATCCACTCATTCTTCAATGCCCATGAAAAAAATTCGGTGCGAACTATTTAGTTACCTTTTCAGGTATAATATATTTGTTTGGAACTATGAAGAAGTCCAAAAAGTTATTTTCGTAATAATAATAAATTAAAATTTTGCTTTCGGCTTTCTCGATATGAAATTGACGCATATGAGGTTATAATTGGGAGCGGGGTAGCTCAGTGACTGAGCATTGGCTTCTCGAGCTCAAGATTCCAGGTTTGAATCCGGCTGATGACTAGTAATTTTTCATCAACTGTGGGTCGACCCTGGGGCATGGAGACCCCTCCTGGGACACACCCAGCCTCTATAAAGTTAGGCACTCTTAATTAAATAATTAATTAAGGGAGAAAACCTGGCGGTTAACCGTGATATTGCCGTCACCTCCCTGCACAACCGTAGGCCTTGTAACAATACTTCCTCACACTGCATTGAACCCAAGACCCTTCATGGATTATTAGTGGTACAGGTGTGTACGTGAGGTTATAATTAAAGAATTCAAAAAAGCTTTAAGCACATTATATATTCATAAATAAGTAAAGAGTGAATTTGGTTTATTATTTTCAATAATGAAACATTGTGATTGACCAAAAAATTCAAAAACATAACCCCCTCTCAAAATTTGAGGTTTCACGTTTCAAGACGCGTAGAATTCGAAAAACGAATAAAATTTTTTTTGTCCGTCCGCCGTACGCGCATTTTCTCCGAAACTACTGGACCGATTTTTTTTCAAATTTTGATATCGAATCTGAGGTCACCCGAGGATGATCCTCCTTCATCGACATTGCACTCCATCTTTAACTTTCAAAATGACGCCCGAAAAACCTGCGTTGCTATTGACTGTAGGTCCTAAACGAATGTACAGATTTCAATGAAACTTCGCTAAAGTCATTTTCTCGACGCCCTTTAAATTTATCTATATAACATACTTCAACGAAAAGAAGCTGGAAAAAAAGTTACGAGGGATAGTAAAATTAAATTCCGAATAACTTGAAAAGTTTTTACTTTTTTGTTGATATTGTATATAGTTTTTTAAAAGTTTACGAAATTTTCTAAAAACAAAAATCGGATAATTAGGAGCAAAGATATGGTCTCAGGTTTTTTTTAACGTGTTCTACTCCAAATGTTATATCCTTGGTTTGGTTTTTAAATTTTAAATGTGTTACTGAACTAATGCTAATTTTTTTTAGCATATTACTAATGATTAAAGAAAAAAAGTTTCGGATTGGAATCACCTTTTGTTTTGTTTTTTCTTTGTAACTCGGATGGTAATGTCACTTTAGATGTATAATTGTTTGGAGATAATAAACCATTGTGAAATAATTTGCAGCGTTTTTTTTTCCTTCAAATTCACACTGAAAAAAAAGAGGACCACATTACCATAGAATTAGACTAGAACATTTAACTTCAACAGTCTAGCCAAATAGCGATACTATGTCATTATTTATGAGTTTAACAAACAGGAAAGGTTCCTCAACTCATCAATAGAATTCAGCGCGTTCCTTTATTTCAATATCGAATCACAGATAGTTCAGCGGCTCAATCTACTATTAGAGTTGATGGATCCGCTGCATGTAACTTCGCAAAACCACATTATTCTTTTATTACTTAATTTGTTGCTAATATAATATATATACTTATATATTAAGTATACTTTCTATTGTTATATATATTTTTTTGGTTTAGAGTTCAACAATTCAGTAGATAGATATTTTTTTATGAAAGGCTTTTCTTTCGAACCTTGAAAGAAAACAACAATTTTTCCTGTAATTTATTCCATAATTAAGTAATAACATAATTACTATACGAATCTATTAGGCCCTTTATAGATAATTAAATAAAATAGGTCAGGATAAGAAAATTTGTAACGTTATTAAAAATATATAACAAATAGGAAAATTCACATAATAAGTTGAATATTATTCAAATGAAGCGGGCGTGGATTTAAAAAAGTTGGTGGGAAGAAGGTCAATCATAGATAAATAGGAATGGAAGGAGATGGCGATCTTTTCCCACATACATTAAAGTCACCCACCTCAACTGCACCGACTTGTTAGCCTCCGACCAACTTATCCTGAATACTTCACTAAATAAGGAGAGGTTATAACTCAACAACTCATAAGGGAGAAGAACTCGGTACTACGGTACACTAGCGGATCCAGGATTTAATTTTGGAGGGGGGGCTTCAGCCCGAAACCTTTTTTTTTCATAAAAATAATTACTTTGGAAAAACATAAAGAAACTAACTACCTATATAAAATTGTGTTTAAGTGATTCCTTAAGTACTTTTAAATGTAATTGCACGAACAATAATACTTTAAGAGGTATTTTTAAAAATTTTTTTCCCATAAAACATAGTTATATTGTTATATTTTTCCATTTTGGGGGGCTTCAGCCCGAAAGCCTCCCCCCCCGTAGATCCGTCCGTGCTACGGTACTCTTACACTAGTAATAAAAGAGATTAGTAGAATGTCCACTGCTAACGACGCACAAAAAAAGAAGTCTGAGATTCTTAGTAATTTTCATATTATTCTTCCATCAGTTGGACACAGCTTCACGGCAAGCGAACTAAGTAGGACAGCGTAACATTAGTAGAAAATCTAAAATACGTTCAGAGAAATTTAACACTAAATACAAAAAAATTGTTATCGTAACCACAAATCAAATCATAAAATCTACCAAACTTTATATCTGAATTGCCATAAGGGGAGTTGATATCATTATATACTACTTTTAAAAATGAGAATAAATTCATCTAATCTTTTCAAGTTTAAATATTTACATCGAGAAAGAAATATATATATATAAAAAAAGCGTCTAACTGTTAAGCCTGTTTTAATCTTTAAGGTACTATTTCGGCGGTACTGCTCAACGCGCCGACATTTAGCAGTTAACCACTGCTTTAATGGGATAGAAAAGGTACTATTTCGCTGGTGCTGCCCATCACTACGAAATAGCCTCCTTTATATTCCACTAAGCAGTGCTGAACTGGTAGCAGTACCTTTAAGTAATGATTATTAAGCCAAATGGTAAATTTCATAGACATGTAAAGTTATTTATTATCGGGAACAATGTCAAAGATTATCTTTAGAAAGAAAGGCAGATTACGAATTGACGGGTTCGATGCAAGAGAAAAAGCAGCTTCCTTTGGTACAAGCATGAAGCAGCTCCACTCGCTAGTTTCAGAGAATCCGACGGATGGAGCTGCCTCGTTCTTCCTCCTAATGATACCGAACGATAAATATTTAATCATTAAGTACAAAAACAGCCATATATCTGTAAAGGGATGATTCAATGCAGTATGACCGTAGGGATGGCAGTCTCGATAATGCGCAAATCAGCAATCAAAGACTTACAGGTCTCATAACACTGGACCACCTTCATCAAGCTTACGATTCTCTCCTCCCAAAGTTTAAAGATGTCAATGAGCTGGCCAGAAAGTATGTTAGGAAAACGAAATGTGGTTTTAGGAACAGTTGAAGTCGGATGCATCAAATGATCCTCTGAGGAGACTGAGGGAGAGCTGAAAGACTGAAGAAGAACTGTACATATTGATGAATTATGCCAATGATGTTGTACTTTCGTTGTTAATAAATGTTTTGTAAACTGAAATATAGTTAATCCTGGAAACAATGATCCTACAAAGGATTTTTCATTCACTTTGCAGCGAAACGGAGGCAGCTCCAAAATTCAAAGTTCCATTGCACGTACCCGAGAGCATGCATTTGTGTGCATTCTGGTCAGTTGTATTTGATACCCCATAACATAATACAAGACTAAATATTTTTTGGTTCAGTTTGAAAATTAAATTTATAAAACGTTTTTTTTTTTTTGTATGCTACATACTGCAAAAAGTGGAGCTACCTCCTTCTTACACCAAACCCTTCAATTGAAGTTTAAAATTAAAAAAATGCAAACAGATATTTCCCATTAAACCACAGTCAAATAAACAATCGTAAGGTATAGTTCGCCAATGAGAATATGGACAGGCAAGTAGCGATATCACACGGGAACTATAGCTCAATCACTCTTAATTTCTGAGAACACCTCTTTAAGATCAGATATATCTATGGCATAGAAAGAACATTGTCTATCTGCAAAAAATAAAAACTGTTTTGGAATGCTTAAAATTGATTTAGACCTTATTTTTCTTTCATTTTTATTATTTTACAAGCATTATGTGTGCGCAGGGATGAAATTGCTTCCACTATTTACTGTTTTCTGACGAAGAATTTCTTCTATTTCTGTTGATAGATATTATTCACCATATACCAATGATATAATTCTCGAATACCGGCAGAAAATGAGACATAAATTACGAAATCCCTCGTTGAATGGTGGGAACGGGTATGAGCATTGGCGTTCCTGTAATTCCAGCAGACGTTCCGTCAAAATCGAATGTAGATGCTTCTATAAAACAATGACGTTATTGTAAGTAGAAACAGTCCCGGTAATCCTTTACTTAACTTCATGCTCAATCGATACTTTAATGCTTTTCGTCAAATTGGTTGACAGGTACACATTTCCATTTATTGATAGAGCTTTCAAATGGAGTTAGAGGAACGAAAATGCGTACCACGCAACATATTGTTTGATCCAAAAAACCAAAACGAGTTTAAAGTACGATGAGAAGAACTCTTCAGAAAAAAAATCTTAACTTATGTAAGTGTACGTGCAATAAAGGAAAATATGAGAGTAATGCTCACCTTGACATTGCTTCTCGCAGAGCTCGCGGTCGAAATTAGAGCCCTGGCCGGACTTGTTGCCGATGGACGGGGTGCATGGGAAGGAACAGTTGCGGCACGTGTTGTCCGAGCAGTACTGGTACCTGTCGCAGGTGATCTCCCCGCAGTGCTTCACCAGGATCAGGCCTTCCGCCATCACTGCCGCGGGGAGCAGCCACACCACCCACCACCTGCAAAAAAAAAAAAAAAAAGATTAAAATAAAAAAGGAGCTATACTACAGTAATGGATAAGTTTCTAAAAAGGTTAAAACAGTAAATTATAAGACAACATTCATATTCCTACTCAACTGCGCAAGTGAGTCTTGGATTCTGAATTCAATACATAGGAGCCAAATACAAGGAATGGAGATGAGGTACTCGAGGACAGTAGATGAAAAACAAGAAGGGGTAGGGTCAGAAATACGACAATTAGAAATAAATCGGTCGTGTATATAATTGAAGAGGATCAGTTACGGTGGTTTGTTCATGTTAAAAAAAAGTAGACGCCAGAAGAATTACTTACGAAACGAGAGTTGAGGAAAAATGATCAAGGGGAAAGCCCAAAAATGCTTGAGATCGAGCAGCCAAGGAAGCATTCAACAGGAGAGGAATGGACTGGAACTCAAGACTCTACAAAGAGGAACCTCTCACACTGCTCGGCCGTAGAAGAAGCCAAGATGAGCCGAAGAAAGGAAGTACTGACAGGTTGGAGTAAGGAATGGAATTCCAACAATTTTTCCAAAAATCAATCACTGATCCGAGAGGAACTTAAACCATCATTTATTTACACTTTGTCACTGCAATGAACATCAATACTTAAAGAGAAAATATTGAAATGATTGGGAGATGCGAAAAGAAAAGCACCTTGCAAGTTTACCTAAATCAATAATGGATTATAAATTATAAAAATATGCTATTTAAGCTCAACAATGAAACTTCACTACGTATCTTTCAACTATTTAAGCCATAACAAAACAGATAATTTAAGAATGAGAGAATTTTATTAGTCACAATTTTTCTGAAATTGGTTATTAATATTTGTTACTATTTTATTTCAAATGTTGCCACGTTGGGAAGCTGCCGATGTGGAGGCCATTTCCTCAAAATGCCTTTTATTGAATCGTGACGTTCTTATGTATAGCTTTTATTGAATTTAGCCAAAATTTTTACTTCTAAGGTTTAATTTAAAGTAAACCAGAAGAACTTGATGCAATTTTTGAAGGATGACAAACTGTATAAAATTATGTAACAGAAACATGGTGCCTCTAACCTTTGTTATTGTACATGTCACCTCAAACTGTAATTAAATAAAAAATAAATATAGTTTCCGTGATATCTGTCCTCATAAATTCACTTATTTAAAAAAAAATAATAATTTTTTTTTTTGCATAACATTATTAACAGTATTTGACCCGCCAACTCTTAATCTTTTCATTTTACGAAAAAGTCATTGCTGTAGTCTTTTAATGGTTGAAGATAAGGTAGTAAAGTAATATATATTTTTGAAGCAAATTTAATATAAAAAAATTTCTTCCTCATGGCTTTTCTGTAAAATGCAAAAGTAAAGAGTTGGTGAATCATTTAATGATCAAAATGCGATAAATTTTTTTCTTCTTTCGAAATTATCACAGATACAATAGAATATAGCCAAAAAAACCAATATGACCATTTCTGTTGAACATTTTGTCAGTTTTATTTTCACATATGACATTACAATTGATGGAACTTATAATTTCACTGATATAAACGAAAAAAGTAAACATTTTGAAAGTAAAATTTTGAAACGTAAATTCAATTTGACGACTTGAAATCCAAGGGTATGGAGTAAATGACTATAAATTAAAAGGGTAGCTTTATATATATCTATAACCATTCTCTATATATTAGCTTACAACCCATGTAAGGTCTCTATCTTTACACGGCCGCCATTTTGTATTCCAGCGGCTATATGCTGGCAGACGAGCATTTTTCCCATCAGGTCTGTGACTATGGTCAATTTATAAAAACAAAGCTTAGTATGAAATACGACACCTTTTTTGCGACTGGCTTCTAAACTATTCTCCTCTTTTCGAAATTATTTTTTATATTTTTTACTGGCATCAAGGTGGGCACGCTCTTTCTTGTCAAGGGTCTCTGTCAAAATGTCCGCTAAACCTTCAAATTAATTCTTGTATTATTGTTCACTACAAAATCAAAATGTAGAAAATTGGTGATAGCACTGGTCAGGTAGGACTAGGAAAATATTGTCTTTTTACTTTGTTTAAGTTTTCTTCATCAAGCCGCAGCGTTTCGTTGAACGGATATGTAAATTTTGTGATAAAGATAGGGAATCCGTGTTTCAAGAACAACAAACATCAAAACTAGGAATACAAAAAATTTTTTTTTTGTGAAAGTGGAAGAAAAACGTAGCTAAGTCTAAGTTTTCCACATTCTGAAAGTAAAATTCATGATGAGCTTATGTTTGCTGCTGAGGTTTCTCTTAGGAGTTCTGAGAAAAGATCGCCTGAAAGATAATTAATAGGAATTACAGAAAGGCAATCAAATATTTTGTTCAGCGCTCTAGCTCTAAATAAAATTTATTTATTAAAAAAAAATCACTCTTGATTAAGCTTTCCTTGTAAGTTGTACAGGAAATAAAATATTCTTATTTTTCTCTACTCTCCTAACATAAGCACCAATCAGAAAAGCACTATATTTGACTGTATATGATGCTAAATGGAAGACGAAGCCTTCTCTATTAATGTAAAAGAAAAAAAAACACAATAAATCTAGTCAATTGGCTAAACTTTGGTCATTTAATGGTTATTGATTTATAAATGTGAAGATTTTTAAAAGAAGATATGAAGAATATTGACAAATGAATAATATTTTTATATTTAATATATATTAATATATATCAAAAAAATATATATAAGTTAGGTAATATATTTAAAAAAATAAATATGAAATATGACACTTCGTTCACCTCATTAGGTAGACTGCCTTAGGATGGCAATCAAGAAATAAGTAGGTAGGAATAAGAAAAAACCATTCTTTAAATCAGTTAAGTCGAATTCGGGGGTTTCCATAGACTCAAAGAAATAATTTAACTAACAAGAGATTAAAAATATAAAGTACATTAAATATACATAAGCATTTACTATTAATCATAAAATATTTTTTTGTAGAAAAACAATCCGTTTGATAATATGGTTGATAACTGGGTTTACGTGCATCGGAAAATCGAAAAAATTTAACCTATAATCGATTCTATCGGACTTCCGAGAACTAATAATTTATTCATTCATCTTCCTTATTCTTGTTTAGGATACAAATAGTTGATTCATATTGCGACATACTTCCTACTGTGTCATCAAAACGTCAGTAAAACTTATAAATATTATTCACTTCTATAAACAGATAAAACAAGGTCATAAATAAAAGAAAGAAATTAAAATTGTGTAATTTTATCTAGCCTAATAGGAAACTTGCTTAGTTGAGTTGACAAAGTTTATTATAATTACGACGTTCTTAACGTAAATATAGAGTCAAAAAGTAAAGCATTAAAAAAAATAACATTGAAAAACATTTCGAAAATGTTCAGTAGTTTCATTGAGTCTATTATTTTATTTCAAATAATATATTCTATTAACTAATCTATGAGGAAGAGAATTATTAATTTTTAAATGTAAAATATTACACCTTTCTATAAAACAAAACGATACATAGAAATATACTTTAGGAAGCGATACAGTGCCGAAATTCACTATTAGGTAAAAATAACTCCAGCGGCCCAAGAAAAACTATAATTAAAAAACTATACGTAAAAAATATAGTACGTCCCGAAAAAAATGTATACAGGTGAGCAATAATAAACCTTGAATAAGTGAGCAGTGATAAACCTAAAAAAAATATTTGCCAAGTCATGTCGTCAATACAAAACAGTTTTTCTAGAGCCTATAAATACTGAGTTTTGACTCAAGTCACCGTTTAATCAAAACTTCAAAAATCTAAATTTAAACGATGAGTTGAGGGTAAAAGTGATAAAATCTACCAATTTTACGCTTTTGTTTCTACAGGCCTCAAATGAGATCAACAATTTTTGTCTTCACATTTTCTATCTCAATTTGCAAGTGTAAGATTAATGTATTACAGAGGGATTGCTCCTAGGTCAGTTGTTTATCCCTCATTTAGATTGGCCAATCAAGATCTATAAAAAATAATGAAACCTACTACCAAGAATAAACGTTAAAAAAAGAAATATTGAAGAAAATTAAGATATTAAACTCTCTTTAATGAATGTAAGAAACAGGACAAAGTATTTCAGGAATTAAATAAAGTCTTAATACTTATTTTTAATAGCTTGATCCCCAATACGTACACGTTACACTTTCAGATTTAGATAGAAAACGTGAAAAAAAAAATTGTAAAAGAAAGAAACCTCTTTTAAAGTTTGTTCTTAAGTTTTAAATTTCAATTTATCTGTATGACTTTTATAAGATAAGATAAGTGTAACTTTTTACCTAATATAATATATGAAGACTGTACACCTTAATATTTATTTTTATCAGAACAATGTTCAAAAATTATATAATAGCCCACCAATGTCAGAAAATAATTTCTATTCAAAATGGAGCGGTAAGTGAAAGTTGTGTGTTTTTTATTTATTTCTGTTATATCGGACGCCGATCTACCTGTGAATGAATTATTATTACTCGAAATAATTTGATCATGGTTCAATAAAACCCGATTGTCTGTTTACAGCCTAACTGGTTCTACGATAGCTGGCTGTAACACGAGCGCTATCTCTTCCACGATCAAGAAGCCCATTCACTAACAATTACCAGAAGATAGAAGAGGGCTTCCTCCGGCGATGGGAACCGAGGAAGAATACCTGATCCAGGAGGCCATGGGAACCTATTAGGATGCAAATAGCTCTTTCTAATGAGTGCACTCAAGGTTGGTAGGATTGATACCTATGATTCTTATCATAAACCTTACTTCAGGTAAATGTGATAAAAATCCAATCGAAAATAGATCAAAAAAGAAAAGAACTAGGGGCTGAGGAAAACTGCAGTGTTTACAAACATATACAGTATTAATGCAGTATTAGTGAAATGTTATTTTTAGCTATTTGTTTCTAACTGTTGTATATTCCGACCTTGACTCAGTCAGTAAAACGAGAAAACCTTATGAATGTCGAAATAAATCG